TTCAGCAAGGTCTTCTATTTCATCCAAGGTAGACACTAATTTTGTCTGATAAATCCATTCACCTGTATTTCACATTTCCATTTGGCTCCCTGCCTTTGATTCTTTCCAAACTTATTTTCTATTGCTTTGCTACAAAGAGATTGATAATTTTCAAGCTGCCAGAACCACCTCTTCTCTACTTTCTGAAAAACTGCTCTTCCGCAGTTAAACGCTGTTTCTATTTTGATGGTGTTCTTTTTGTTTTGAGATGTTTGCCACAAGACTTTCTAAAATACATCTTTCTCCCAGTCCCCAACAAACCTGCACTCAAAGGCTTCCTGTTCGTTTCGCTGTAAGAATTTCCACCTGCATGCATTTATTTCAGTTTTAATTCAGATTTCACGTTCAACATGACCAACTGCACCAAAAATTAAGGCAAGATATTAACTGGGGATGACAAATCTGATCATAACCCTGTGCTCACTGCACGACGTCCAGCTTCCTTTCTTGTTTCATTTTTAATGGATAAATAGCTTTTTACTACTTGGATTACTTTCCTTTCCAAGGTCAAACTCAGCTTGACTTCTAGGAACATCCTATTCAGGCTTAAGACTTCCGAACTCCCTGAAAATCTTCATTTTTGAATGCCTTTTGCGACTCCTGGCAAATTCTCTGTGCGCTTCTGATACTCTCTTTGGCTGGTTTGTCTTCTGCTCCCGGATTCTGCTTTTTCTTGGGATGTAAATCCTACATGTTTTTTCTGATTCCGAATCACAAAGCACAGCTCCCTTTGCTCTTGGGTTCAACTAACTTCAAGCCATTTCCCTAAACTTTCTTAGCTTGCATTTTTGAAATTCAAAACCTTTAACTGGAAGCCCCTTTCAATCTAAACCACGTAAAATTCTGATGCCAATTCTTCAACCCAAACTTGGTTTCTACAGACAGCTCTTCTAGAATATAAAACCCACTTTAAAGCCACATCACTTCTTTTTAGCTCAATAACTGCATGTGAACATTTCCTCCAGGAATAAGTTGTCCTTAGAATTTTAATGGTGAAATTACGACCCATACAAGAGACAAAGTCACAACAGAGTATTATAGCAGGCAACATTCCATCTGCTGCATCCCAATAGTTCCAAGTACACCTAATACAAGAAAACTCTCTTGCACCTGAAATTACTGTGTTTGACAGACTCCTGCAGCGGAAGTGTGCAGTTACAACTCCGTTACACACTTCACACACCAGACAACCACATGGAACATGCTGACCTTCCAACAGTCAAAATAACTTGTTTTGGAGTGCTTTATCCCTTCACTATTGTTCTTTATTTGAGAGCTTCCAGTCTTTGAATCCTTAATGTTTACTTCTCATTCCTCTCGCTGATGAAGATATATAAAAGGTTCTGACTTTCCTACGAAAATCTTTCCTTAAAAAAATGTAACTGAAATAAGACTAGGTCCCAGAAATGTTCTGTATATTCTACCACCTGAATAAAGAGCCTGGGGTTACATCATTAACTCCCACAAATAATCAGCATCACAATTCTTGCAGTACAGTACATTTTATTACTACTTCAGTCCATAGAATTTCCTACACTTCACAACGCCTGAAAAAATACAAGGTCATTTTATGGAGCAGAGTCACACGTTTCGAGCCACACAAGCAATCGCTCAGTACGTCAAACTCCTTTGCAAGTCAAGTTTAATGGAATTAACTCAATATACCAGCATAAAGGTTCAGCGACTTATTCAACATTACAGGAGATGAAGCGTCAGGCTAATCAACGTCTAGCTCACGCCTTGGCCAAAAGTACCATGCGCTCCTCCGGCCGTAAAGAAAGCATGGACACAGGAGCCAGAGGAGAGAACCCAATTTAAGGAAAGGAAAACACTCTAAAAAGGAAGCTGCCCATCTTTCCTCAACGGTAAGGCTTCTCAACTAACCCCTTCACAAGTGGATGAATTTCTGTAATTATTTTACCCCTAAAAACGCCCCAGGATCTTTCTGCAAGTCCTGTCTTCTACATCCACCTTCAGCAAGTGTCCTAACGCCCGCTGGCACTCCTTTATTTATAGAATCATAGGCTCCCTAAGGTTGGAAGGGAGATCCAGAGCTCATCTGATTCCAAATCCATATTCACTTAAGTAAAACACAAATAGAAGTGGCAGCAAGTTTGGAGCCAGGGACTGCGCAGCGCTTGGGGACGGGTAACCTTCACTTCCAACCGGTACGATCCAAAATAATTCATCCATGTTTTAACAACAACCGCTAAATACTCCACTAGACGTTGAATCGGTCAACGAAATACTTTCTTTTCCAACACTAAAACTTGGAAATGTTTCCAGCATGCTTTATTTTGATGCTTACCAAAAAACAGTAATACTTTAGAAAGTAAAAATTTCTCAAGTAATTACAGTGTTAGAACGTTTTAGATTCTTTCTTTGCCACTACTTACATTCCTGGATACATTTTAGTGAAATGAGGAATGACAAGGGAGACTCCTTGAACTGAACTTTAGTATCACCATATAATTCATAAGAAATTTCAAAACAACTGCTAAATACAAACGTCGTTTATATTTTATACTAAGCTACAGTCACAGCATTTCTTGTAAAACCTTTTCGAAGGCTCACTTTAATAAAAGGGAGAGAGAGAGACAGAGAAGCACAAATTGAGATTCCTGAAGACCAGTTGAACAGAACAGGATCTGGAAAACCGAAGTAAGGGTGTAAGATTCAGACATGAATCTGTGCGACAAAAAAGAGGGAGAACATGAGGCAGGGGCACTAGCGATCATAACCCCTTCGTATGCAACAAGGTGGAGCATGGAAGAGCCATTTGCTATACCCCTTCCACTACTGCTACCCTCTCCCCCATCTACCACAAAACCATGAGGGGTCTGCAGAGAGGTCCCTTCACCACCACTGCACCCTAAGGAAACTCAATGGAACCCTGAAAACAGCAGCAGCTTGAGCTAAAGCCCCTCACTGCACCACAAGCGACCTGCGGGCTACCAAAAGGTCCCATCAGAGACCACCCAACCTTCTCCAATGCTGGGTAGGGTCAAGCCAGCGGAGCCGAAGGTTGCAAAAGGAGGCTCTGCAGGAGACAACAAGTGCTCCTAAACTGCCTCAAATGGTTTAACGTGTACCTGGAGCCAGAAATAGGGCACGAATTGGAGATGCAGCCATCAGTTACGAACATACCAGACATTCTAGACTTGGCGAGAGGAGAAGAGGTGAACGTGACTCTTCCAACCTAATTGTATCTGGGATGAAGGAAGCACGGCTCGAAAAGGACTATGGTATGGTTTGGACAGTCGTTCCATTCACTAGAGTGTGGAAACCCATGAGTTAATGATTTTTGCACTACTGGCAAACTTTGTCCAACTAGCCTGCCACATTTGGGAAGCAGCAGATAACACAACCCTCAGGAAACCCTACAAGTCCAATAAATCATAGAGTTTCTGCTTTTTGTGTGTGTGCAGAAAGGTACCCACAGCAAAACCAGGGTACTTTGCTCCTCATCACATTTGCTTAACTTTTTCACCTCTCCCACTTGCCTTGGAGAGTTTCAGTTCCAGAGCAGAAACACAACACTCAACACAAGAACGGGCCAGTGCTGACAAAGGCCTCTATATCGCGACATAAACACTTAGATCATCTGCAATCTCAGTGTGCACATCCCTTGTTCAGCAACACAGTCATGCCCATCGCCACTAACAGCACCAACTCTTGGGCCCTTTTAGGCTATTTTTTTATTGAGCAGTGCCAAACTGGCTTAAGCTCCCAGAGACACGCACAAACCGCTCAGGTCAGTGACGCCACACCCCAAATACCTAGGAACTCTCCAAGCCTGCAACGTCCCCTGGGCAGCCACCCACTGCTAGAGGGACTTTCAACAGAGACAAGATCAGCAAATAATCAGCATAATCCTAGAGCAGGGGAAATGGCCCATGGAGCAGGGGATCCGTGAGAGTGGAACTATGGGCTGTAACGGAGCACAATTTCCTGCATCTGCTGAGAGGGCAGGGTTACGCTGGACATAGGGAGAAATTTTTTCCAGCAAGAGCGGTCAGATGTTGGCACAGGCTGCCCAGGGAGAGGGTTGAGTCCCCACCCCTGGAGGTGTTTGAAGGTCGTTTAGATGAGATGGGTTAGGGGTGAGCTTTGTAGTGTAGAGTTATAGGTTGGGCTCGATGATCCCAAGGGGCTTTTCCAACCTGAGTGATTCTATGACTCAAGGTTTTCTCTTCACAGCGAGTTTCTCAAAAACTGGGTCTTTCTGCTCCTTGGGAGATAAGCAGAATTCAGTCTCTATCAGTTTGATGAGCACAATTGGATTTATTCATCCTTTCACCTATACTTCATTACTGCCACAGCATTTCCCCTGAAGGGGCAGAAGAGGTTCCTCATGGTGGTAACTGAAATCTCTCTTCAGTCTCAACACTCATTTGTTTCTTACACGTCTACCTGAAATACGTCCTAGAAAAATAATTCAAAGATGTTTATCTAAACCTGTTGAGACCTTCAGGTGACAACTTCATGGCAGTAACTACCCACTCATTTCACAGGCTACACATTCAAACACCAATTTTGTTCTTTCCGAGCTCACCTGTAGGAGGAGAGCAGAGGTACGACACTGCGAAACCAGCGTTAAACATCCACAGTTTAACTTTGCAGATCACTATCTAGCAGAGAAGTATAAATCGCTTCAGTTGATCAGAGGCAAATCAGTTTTCAACAGGTCAGAAAATATTCCCACACAACTTCCGCGGCGTTTCTTCCTCCTAGTGCAAAAGCTTTCCCCGCGGTCTCACTTCTGCTTCCCCACGGGACTAAGAGATTGCACTGGAAGTACCTGGGCCAAAAAAGCAGGGGATCTCCCCAACCTCCCACACCTCCCTCTTGCAACGCAGCTTTGATTCTGTTCTCTGCAATAAAGATGCTAAAATAACCATTCTTTTACCTTGGATAAGCTTGCTAAGGGTGCTTTAGGCTTAAAAGCACGACAAACGTACCCGTTTATCAATTTCACACATGACTTTTAGAGCATTTTGCTGATGGACTGTTATTATTACTTGGTAATAGGCAATCTGAAATGACCGTAGCACGAAAAACTTGAAGAAAAGAAAAATTTTATAACTAAATGACTGAGGAAATACTCTTGTAGCACACAGCCTGACAGCATGATTCAGACAGGCATCAATGTACCAGAAGAAGGACATCACCGTTAGCTCTTTGAAAAACAGCAGGAAAATCTGACCCTCTCAAGAATAAACTCGGTGGAGTCACTTTCTGGATTCTTATCCGCTAGAACCATAACAGATATGAGAAAAGAAACCTCTGCATAAAACTGGTAGATCGTTCAGATGAGAGAACATCATCTTGTCTGTCAGAACAGCCGGAGGGGGCAGGCGGGGGGAGGGACAACTTCCATAATCCTTGGTAATAAAAGTTTTCTCTACTTCATCTCAAAAAAAAAAAAAATTAAAGAAAACGAGCTAGTTCAATTTTAGGGATAATGTAGAGGGAGTACAAACACTGTCAGAATGTTTGGGCCATGACGCAAGCCTGAAAAAATAAAATAAAAAAAAATCCATTATCTCGGCTTGGAATATCGTGTTTCAGTGTAAAAAAAAAAACAAGTGTTGTTTCTGAAACATGAAGAGCACAAGGCCGCTCCCCTCCCTCCTCTCTTCAACAAACAGATGTGAAAATCTAGTTGCCTCATTCAGATGAAAATTTCTTAACACAAATATACATCTTGCCCTAACTTAAACCCACAGGCGGTGTAAATGCAGATTTTGTAAAGCACCTCACTTGAAGCTGGACAGTGAAACCTCCATTTGTTGATGCAGTCACTTCCACTGCTAAACTCACAGTCAATTTCAGTGACATATTTTTATTTAAAACGTTTAGATTTCAAGTACTCTGTTCTGTTTCAAGAGCTATTTCTGGGGAAAAAAAATAATAAAAAAAAAAGACTGGTTTTGAATTGTCCATTTGAGACCACATGCTCCAGAACGAACTCGGAAGTCAAATACTTTTATACTTACCCCTGAGACTCAGCAGTGAAAGCCTGGTACAACCAAACACAACTAGTTACTGCCTCCCGAACTCAAAGTACTTGAAACACCACTCTTAGCTCTAATTTCAAGGTAGTTTTAAAAAAAAAAAAAGCTCTGTAAGAAACCCACCCTTCACTAGGTATTCCAGTCAGACCTGTGCCTTTCTAGAGCACCGATACATACATTTATTATTATTTTAAAGTTTCTAAGACATGATGATGCTTCTAGAAAAGACTGGACTAAATTAGACACAGAATACTAACAGTCCTCTGCCAGCGAGCCAGAATCCCTGTATTAAATGCAGGGAATTTCAAGAACACCCAATGAGAGCTGAGGAAGAGCCATTTGACCTCAAGAAGTTGCTATTTCAAAGAAAAAAACCCAAGCAGCACAAAGGCTACCACCACATACACTCACTTCTGCATTTCACCACGGGATTACGGCTCAGTCATCTAAGTCAGAACGTGCACGTTAAAATTCACAAACTTCACCAACCCTCAATTTCTGTTCGCTCAGCTGGCCACCAAGCCGTCTAGGAAATGACACGGGCTCATCAGAGCTCCGCTTCCTTACTTCATTTAAGATTACGCTCACCAGCTGACTGCAATATAAAAAGACTCAAAAGATCCTCCGCGGTCTTTTCAGAACCGAGATCAGAAGTCAAGATCTATTCCAAATGAAGTTGCATTTGAAAACAAACCAAACCGCAGAAAAAGAACATAGGAAACTCTACCTTAATCGGAGCGCGGCTAAACTGAATTTTTCTGTTTGCTGGGATTTCATCCTCATCTGGCAATCCATTAATTTCGGAATATTCCATATCAGGTTCGTAACAGTTATTTTCGTCGCTGTCATCCTGATCGTCCTGTTCCGTACCTGTCTCTCCCCAGTCAGAGTTGTATCGCGAGCGTACCCGATACACGTTGTAGTCGGAGTGCATGTACACGTGGGAACTCTGAAAATTATTCACGTCTTCGTGCGCTTCTTTTTCACTTGCCTCATCATAACGGGACTCAGTAGTGTCTGAAATGGCATCTGTGGCGAAATCGCCACCTGAAGCCACGTTTCTTGGTAATTCTGCAGTTTCAGGTCTCTCAAAGGCACCCTCCGCACGCGCCGACCGCTCCTTTTGCGACAAAACGTCCGTCTCTGTTCTCGCCTTACTCCTAGCGCAGCCCTCCGCAGATCTTTCGCCGTCAAGAGCGCTGACCACGTCCTGCGGACTCGCTGCAGAGCTCTCGGCGGAATCGGCGCTCGCCTCTGCGCTCTTCTTTCCCTCTTCAGTCGCTTTTGAACCTGTGGATGTCTTCTGTCTGGCTGTCGAAGGCGTGCTGTTCTGCTGGGAGCTCTCAACAACCGTGGCACCCGTACTCTGCTTGGCTGGGGGCGACCACGTGCTGGCGTCCTTCAGAGGACTGAAACCCTCGAGGTTCGCAGCCGGGGAGGAGATGCTTGCAACGGTAGACGAGAGATTTAGCGGGTAGTGACCGGTCACAGAGTACTCTTCGTTGTTTTCCGACTTTTCTACAGCGATGACGTTGTGCGAGTCGGTGTTTTCGAAAACGGCGCTGAGCTGGCTCACGGTGGAAGAGACGGTCTCGGTCCTTGGGCTCAGGCTGTCCAGCGAATCCATGCTGCCTCGGTGAGACTTGGAGCTGCACCACTCGTCGGGAAGCTCGTTGGAAACGGCTTTCTCTTTCTTTGGGGAATAGCGATTGGAATGTCCCATGTCGTGAGCGTTTCGCTCAAACATCTTCCGAGTTTCAGTGAACTTGGAATAAGAAGGACCATCGTGGATAGTATCAAACCTGCTAATCCTTTCCGAGACTGACGACTCCAATCTTACGATCGAACCATCCGCTTTCTCTACAAATTCTTTGGGCCTAACTCGTCTCTGAGGTGATGGAGGGCCACCCTTCCCCCTGGTTTTAGGGGTAACTCCCGCACTTTCAGCAGGCTCCATGCCCATCTGCATAAACAAGTTCTTAATCCTATTGACGTTTGAGCCATATTTCCTTCCCCTGCTCTGCGAGGCCTCTCCTTCCTCTTTCGCTTTTTGGTCCCCATCTGATTTGGGTTTGTCAAAGGTGCTTTTCAGCGCCTGGAACTCAGTTCTGTAAGCGTTCCTGTGAGGAGAGGCACTTCGGAGGGTTGATCTTTCTCCTGAAGACTCCGTTTTCATCATGTTTACTCCAGGAGCCCAAAACCAGCTCACATAGTTCCTGCAGTATCGCTCTCAGTAGGCTGGCACAGCTGAGATTCTGGCTTGAGGAATGTTTTGGGTTTTTTCTCAGGGGGCACTGCCCCTCGACAGAAGATCTGGAGGCAAATATCTACACATGCAGGGTCAATTCTGACGAAGTAGCACAACCAAGGGCTCTCAAGAAGAGCAGCTGATTTAACCTGCAACAGAAAGGAGGGGCTTCTGAATCACGTCAGGTACTTCTGTAAATCTAAGCCACAATCTCCACCTACTATTACTTGACACGTTTACAAAACAACAGTAAAAAAAAACCACAACCTAATGCTGCAAAAAAAAATAAATTGCAATCTAACGCTGCGCAGACACATGGCAACTTGTCATCACAAACTTTTCCAAATCGACTGTTCCATAATCTGCCATCTATAGCATCCTTCAGTAGTGAAAGACCGGATTATCACATCTTACCCTGCACAAACTACTGTATTATGTCACATGCAAAGGAAAGGCAACGTGTCAAGAAAAATAACGCTGCTTCTGTTACTGAACTTGTCTAAAAATAAAAAATTAAAAACCTCAGAATCAAACCTCTGGATTACTTACACCTAACCACAAAGCAATTAATGCAAACGCGATGGTTCTCCTTCCCCGAGGCATCGCAAGCCAAGCCCTGCTCTCCCGGAGAGACACGAGGGTAGCGATGCCACCGCGCACTCGGGAAGGGAAATCAAACAGCAGCGCCAGGAACAG